TCTTCACTCTCGATGTGGCTAGTAAGTCAACAATGGGCCTGGCTTGTCACTGTGTTCTACTTAATTCTCATTTTTTTATTCTTCCCCTGTCTTTATTTTCTTACCCTAGTATATTGTTTATGTTGCACACACAAAGACACTAGAAACATTTTTCTAATTTATTATGATATCTTCCATGAAAAGGGAGTGAAACAGTTCAGGAAATGGGAGATTTTAGAGACTCTTAAAACAACTGCCAAAGTGTGGGCTGAGGAACTTATTCTGGTTACCTAAAAGTTTCTTCTGTGCTGCTTCTAGTTTTTGTTAAAGGCAATACTGCCCTCTTGTGTCCAGAAGCCAATTCCAGCGCATATTTTCTCAATTATATTGCTTGTTTTACTCATCCAGTTTAGAACTTCTTAGAAAAACAAGTAACAATTATTTAAGACATGGTGTAGTTTGCTAGCTTGAATTTCATTGGATCAGGTAATTTGGGGTCATACTAGAGTCGTCTATACAATAATGCCCCTCATCTGAAAGGTAACATCCAAGTTTTTTGTTTGATATTACTTTCCTCCCTTTATAAGGAAAAGTGTTCCCAATTCTTATTTTAAAAATATGATACATTGGATCATTGCCAACTTTTAAAAAGCTAAATCATTATTCTCCTTCCTTCACTTTTGTAACTGATGTGTCATTTTTCATTTCATTCTGGATATAAATCGTAATTTCTTTTGCCTGTGTTTTTTCTTCACAAGCACGCCTTTCATATAATGATAGAGGTAAGATGCATTGATGTTTGTTTTATGGTTGTGGAACTTTTTGTGGATGCATATTAAACATTTGTTCTTAGATTTTTGTTGTTGCTTTATTGTGCATCCTTTATAAATTTGTGTTATGAATTTTTTTTTTACCACTTTTAGTATTAAAAACATGATTGATTTGCCACAGTAATAGTTTTTGGTTTTCAAAGAGTTGTTAACCGCATTTATACTTATCTGAGTTGGAATGTAGAAACTTGATTAGATGTTAACACCTAATGGCTAGTATGTCACTAGCTTAATGTCAGCATATGCTCATTTTTACCAGGAGCTGACTTTCTGGTGAAACCCATCATCCTTTAATGTGAAATCTGTATTTTCAGATCGTTTCTTTCATCTTTAGCCTCCTTAGCAAATGGGCTGGCTAGAGAAGTATAAGTTGATCTTTTGCTCTCTAGAGTTTGGAGGCTTTTAGATTAGAATTTACCCTTCTCACTTGAGAACTTAGAAGAAATACAATGATCATAGACTACTTAGCAGCTCTTCACTTCTGCTAATTTATTCCAGTCTTGAGTATAGTAATCCTACTGGGTAGCAGTGTTGGGATGGGGGCATGATTTTCAGTGATTGCCATTTGTTGTTTCTCAGCATGATGTCTCCTGATGCCATAATTTTCATATACAAATGGGTAAAGAAGAGATGTAAGTGGAGGCACGTTCTACTGCATGTCTTCTTAACTGTGCAAAATAGCGGGATTGCAAGAGAACTGGAGACTTAGGAAAAGTTTTCAGGAATTCCCCAGTCCTTACAGTTGATCCCCCAAAAGCTGGTTTTCTGTGTAGCAGGGCAAAGTCATGTTTTATGATAATATCAGAATGTTGCTGTCATTATGAAGTTCAAGCCCGAATTTGTCTCACCAGGTGTTGATATATTTTAAAGGTATAAATCTTTATTCCTAGAATCAGGTACAGTTGACCCTTGAACAGGGCTTAGGGGTGCCACTGCCATGCACAAACCTGTGTATAACTTTTTACTCCCCCAAAACTTAACTACTAAGTTTTGTGACTAATAACACAAATGGTTGATTAACATATATTTTGTATGTTATATGTGTGATATAGTATATTCTTACAATAAACTAGAGAGAAGAAAATGTTATTGAAATCTTAACGAAGAGAAGATACATTTACAGTACTGACTGTACTGTATTTATTAGAAAAAAATCCACATAGAAGTGGACCCCTAAAGTTTAAACCCATGTTATTCAAGGGTGAACTGCATTGAGTTTTTTGTGGGTAAATTAGTATAATGATGCTCATAAACTACAAATAATTTGATAGTCTCAGATGATAGGATAAGTAAAAGCCAGATATTAGAGATGCAGTTAAAGCTTCCTATAAATTTAATGAAGAGCTGAAAAGTATGAAAGAGAATATTCTGGTAATTTTTCATTAAAAAAGTAAAAAGGCATATTGGCATTATATATTTTATAGAGTTATGGTCTGTATTTTAGTTACTTGTTTTTGAGTCTCACCTTTTAAGTATTATAGAATATTACTTAAAAACACATACCATTTCTAAAAGTTTGACATTCTGTAGGAATGTGCCTTTGTAGACCTTTTCCTCACCCTTTAAAAATTTGCCAGTATTCTTCTTACTTTTAACAACAGTCTGTTTCAGGCTGTTATGATATAAGGCTAAATAAAATAGTAGTATCATTAGGAGAGTGAGCTAAGATTTTTTACTGACAATGGTAGCTTAGAAACTTGCCCAACAAAGACTTGGAAACTTATGGGAATCTTGGAGTTTATTTGTGCTTTTGGAAAATATTCAGTTATCTTTTTTCCTCCAAATACATTGAAAGTTATTGTATGTTTCCTAAAATTAAGGTTAGTATTATATTAAAATTATATTTTGAACTGGTGACATAGTCTTAATTTGAGATGTGGATTAAGTCCTCTGAATCCTGTTTTATAGACTGAATCATATCCATGTGGTTGGTACGCCTTAGAACAGAGAATGGGGGATGTCATATGTTATCGAGAGACATTATTAGTTTATATTAAAAATTATTAAACATCTTAATGTTTAAGTTAAGAGCCATTTTCTTTATGTGGTTGTTTTGCCTCTTGAGCTTTCAGCTCTTATCTGCATACTTAAATTTTTGGTATCCCTGCTTTGAAAACTCGACATTTCTGACTTAGTTCTAAAGAAGGGGAATCATTGATTTTTAACTTCGTGGTTATTTAAATTTTTTCAGATTGAACTTTTTTCTGTTAGCATAATTATTTTATGCAGTTATCTAATAATTCTTGGACTTTGAGCATGAGTGGTTTCCTCTGCCTCTACAAGACTAGTTTTCCACCTTTCTCCCTCCCGTCTCCACATCCACATCCGCAGCCTGCTCCTGTCAGTAGTATCTCTTGTTACAGTTATAAATGACCAGTCGAGCAATGAGGTAGGGTGGGTTTAAGTTTGATAAAACCTCTCCCTAGAGTCTTGTGTCCCTTTCCAGTGAGAATCATAACTTTAGGGGCCATACTTCTTTAAGATTTGTATCCGACTTTCTGGACTCGTCACTCTGTTAAACTACAACACTCTTCAGCTCTACTAAAACCTTTTGTCTTTTGAATGTATGAAGGCAAAGCAACTTTTTGTAGACATTTTAAAAATAAATATCTGAGGTTGAAATGAGTCATAGGAAGTCTTCTAGTTTATCATACTATTTTATTTTTATTTATTTATTTTTAAAGATTTTATTTATTTATTTGACAGAACGAGAGAACACAAGTAGGCAGAGAGAGAGGGAGAGAACACAAGTAGGCAGAGAGAGAGGGAGAAGCAGCCTCCCTGCTGAGTAAGGGAGCCCGATGCGGGGCTCAATCCCAGGACCCTGGGATCATGACCTGAGCCGAAGGCAGATGCCCAACGAACTGAGCCACCCAGGCGCCCCTATTATACTATTTTAAAGTAGGAATTCTCAAGCCATTTTGTAAAGGATTGCCTACAAAGAAATTGCACCTTTGTCCTCTTTAATACCTTGCAGTATTTCTATTTTTGAGGGTCTTTCTAATGCAGGTGTCAACTGTTTAAAATCTTGAGTGACACCAGTGGGCTGAATAGCACCCAAAGGGAGCACTGACAGTCTTGGGGCATTAGAAGAGGGGATTTTTTCTTAAAAGGGGAGGAAAGAGAGAGATGCAGTGATACAGAAGGACATACTATTTCCAAGTGACTTAGATGCCACCCAGTGTCATAGTGTCTGTTGCTGTTGCCACAGAAATTTTAGTTCTTCTTTATAATACTCATTATGCAGCCCTTCATACATTTTGATTACTTTTCTCTGGAAGCTTTTCAAAAGGCTTCCTACATCTTGTTTTAGTTGCAGATACTGAAATGATACAATGCTTCCAGTGAGGGTTGCCATTCTGCTTTGTATAGGAAGGATGCTCTTGTGTTTTGTAAATGTACCCCTATTTATATACTATATTTGCTCCATTTTCAAAATTAACTATAGCAGTATACTTTTCTTTCATTTATCTTGCCATCTATTACGATGAACACTCATTTTCTGGATTACAATTTCTGCTTTCTTTGCCAATTAGACTAGTAATTTTTATCTCAGGTCAATTTGGGGAAGTAATTATAAGCAAAGGGTTTGTTAGTAGGTTGAAAAATTAGAATGAACAGAAAAGTTTGGCTATTAACATATTTGTGTGCTTTGTATTTGATACACTTATCTGCAATGTATTTGAGAATGACTATCTGTATTTCTGAGATTAATGAAGAAAAGACTTAAAGATAAACAGTCATTGGAGAAAGTAGTGGATTTTGAGGATTGTTTTCCTTTGAGAAATAGCTGTAATTTGCTGTTGCTGGCACTTTTAAAATCCTCTTCTAGTGAAGTACCAACTTGATGAAACTGTTGAAATACTGTTCATAATATCCTAAAGGTTACAGAAAATCTTAGTCCAGAAAATTAGTGAGACTGACTCAATGATTTGAGGTCATTTCTCCTGCTGTACTTAGATAGCAATAGTGCCAAATGTTATTATGAAAACTCTCAGTTCAAGTGGCTTGCCTTACGATCACTGTAAATAACTAGTAATGCTTGAGAACTCAGTTTTAGTAAGATTGAAGTTAGTGTCATTTGTATGTGCTTCCTGTTTCTGTCAATTGATTCCTCAGTATACTCACTTTTTTTTCCTCATATTTAGCACTGATCTGCTTTCTGATACTAGTGTTATTGTTTATCTGTAGGACCCAGGACCACCCCCACCTTCTCCATTACTAGGTTTGAAGCCACTGCAGTTATTAGAAGTGAAAGCAAGGGGAAGATTTGGTTGTGTGTGGAAAGCCCAGCTGCTCAATGAGTATGTGGCTGTGAAAATATTTCCAATACAGGTATGTTCTTGCGTCTTTCTCATCTGCGTATATTTTGTAAAAGGTGCAACTGGCTCGATTATTGTAATTCAGAAACAGTCCGAAAACACAAACCACATTTCTGGGTGGTTCTTTGTGATACTGAGGAAAGAGGTTAGCCCTTTTGTCTGCCTTCCCATCTGAGGAATGGGACTCATGGTACAGCAGTCCTTCTGTCTGTTCGGAGGGTTGGAGTTCCAGTGAATGAACATAAAGGAGATCTTTTGCCAATAAAGATACTACAGAAATGTAGTATTAGTGGAGGATTCCAGTAATAGAATTTCGTTGGTTTATTTTTAATATCCCATTGACATTATCAGAAAACAAAGAGAAGAATGAAAGAATAGCATACTGGTTTTAGAATTGTTAAGAGGTATATTACCAGACTGATTCATTTTTGTCTTACTTTGAGTGCCCATGTAATCATTTCAGATTTTGTTTGGTGAATTTTCAGAGGCAGTGAATCAAGATTTCAAATAATTGGTTTACTGTTGACTTGTTTTTCTTTTAAAGGGGCCTGGCCTCATAAAACCCTGGTCTAATGCACCTCTGAGCTGTTCTTATGTTTTGTTTGAGTCCATTGGTGGTAGAGATCTATGCTGATTTCTTCATCCCTGTCTCTTGCTTCACACCCCTCTAGTTAATGCCTTGTGTGCTGCTGCGGTCCTTCTTGGGTTTGGTGATTCAGGCTCCGCCCCTGTATCTATCTGCACAGTGGATCTTCCTCATCCCAGAGTTACAGAATCCGTTTTTTCTTTTGTCTTAATATACCTAGCTTTTATCTTTGTTGCCTCCTCTAAAGCCTTTTTTAGTAGCAGTGCAGATACTTTAACACTCTGGTTCTTAATGGAAGAGTCTAGTCTGTTCTGCTAAGATTGACAAATTCAGGGTTGTTCTTTCTTTGTGGGAAGAAGCTCAAAAGTTAAAGAAAGGCCTTTGGATATTAACACAAGGGTAACAATAGCAAGAGTAACAGTAGCTAATATTTTATTGAATGCTTCTTATTGTCAGGAAGAGGTGCTTTATAGAGGAGTACTCAGTAATAGGTGTCCATATATTACCCATATATAGAAAACAACACACATATACATAATACAACAACCCTATGGAGCAGACACTGTAGTCCCCATTTGCTAATGAGGAAACTGAATGATTGTCACTCGGCAAAGGTCCTTAAGATAGTTTGGATCCAGAGGGTTCCTAACCATTACGCTATGGTGCCTCCGACTTTCGTTATTCTTCCATTGTGAAGAGAAACTAATTCTTTATAAGTAGACATGTAGGCAAGGAGTAGGCATGGGTTGCTTGCAGTCATAAATGAGTATATAGTGTTTTAAATTATTGTATTGCCTATTTATACCCTATTGTGCTCTCATTGACTTAGCAGGGTATTCTCAACATTTTAAAAACGTTTGATATAATGTTAATCTTTGAACAAAAAAATTGTCTTCTATTGAGATGAAGTCATTCTACCTGAAATTTGTACTTCAGGGAGATTATTCTGAATAAACACAAGTAACTTCACACCATGATGAAATGACACTGTATTATGAAATTGTCAGCAGAACACATTCTGTGTTGCCATTGTTAGATAGATACAGATGTGCACCATTTCTGATGATAACTCCTGTATTTACAAACTAGAAACACAGAAAAGTATGTTTCAGGGAGTGGGGCAGGGCAGGCATTTGTCATAGAGTTGTTACTAGATTTCTTTTAGGAAAAAATAAGACAAAAATCAAAGAATCTTTTCATACTTAGCTTTATTTTTAAATTTTGCCTTAGAATCTACTTGAGTAATCTCTTAGATATGGTTTATTTATTTATTGAGTTCTTTGCACTCTTCCTATTCTTTCTTTTTAACTCTAGGACAAACAATCATGGCAAAATGAATATGAAGTTTATAGTTTACCTGGAATGAAGCATGAGAACATATTACAGTTCATTGGTGCAGAAAAACGAGGCACCAGTGTTGATGTGGATCTTTGGCTAATCACAGCATTTCATGAAAAGGTAAAACTACTTTCCATTTTAACTCAGGAAAGTTTACCTCCTTAATGTTGGCTACAAATCCCTCAGACTTGTTTTTCTGGGAACAGTATGTTGTTATAGTTGGTTAATATTTATAAATAAAAATCCTTTAAAAACTAATTTTAAGAAAAGAGCAAAAATGGCAACTTTTTCACCTAACGCTCTACGTATATAAATCCAGTCTTTTGTCCCTTATTTCTTAGGCTGCAGTTACCTCTCTTACAAATAATTATTTCATTGTAGCCGGTGCTTAGTCATTTTCATTTACCATTCATGATCCATCTTGATTATATGGACCATTTTTTAGCTTGAATTTTGTGTAGCCTAGTGACAGAACTAGAGTCAGGAGATTGATCTTTGATCTGTCACTAATTCTTAAGTATCACCAAAACGCAGTTGCTGTTTTCCCTCAATTTTTCTACTTTCATAGTTAGTATGAAAGTACATGTTAATGAAATAGGAAATTGTGTTGACTTGGCAATTAGTTTCATCACTGTCAGATCTAGGTGGCTCTTATATGTCTCTAAATTCTTGACCAGAATGATAGTAGTAATCTCTAGAGGAAGATTCTGACATAGTTGCTTATATGTCTTAATTTTGTGTTTTCCTAGTCCTGTGATATAACTAACATCTTTGTAGTCAGTGTATTTTAACTTTTTAAATATTTTCCTGAACTTTAGATTTTCAAATAGTGTTTTTTTGTTTTTTTTTTAACTTCTGCCTTCAAAATAGGAGGAAATTGACTGTACCTTGTAGCAAACCTTTAAAGATTAGAGGTATTCCATTCTAGTCAAATGTTTACTAATGTGAAACTTGAACCCTTCCAGAAAGATTGTTTTTGTTTTTGTTTTTTTTGGGATATTATTATTCACTAAAAGTAAAGATATTTTGCCTTCCATAATCTCTTAAAAGTAAAAAGGAAAGTTCTCCATGTCACATGGCTTTTGTCCAGAGCATAAGTTGTTTTTTCCCCCCTTTTCTTTAGGGTTCACTGTCAGACTTTCTTAAGGCTAATGTGGTCTCTTGGAATGAACTGTGTCATATTGCAGAAACCATGGCTAGAGGATTGGCATATTTGCATGAGGATATACCTGGCCTAAAAGATGGCCACAAACCTGCCATATCTCACAGGTAGAGCTAAATTTATATTATTTTCCCAAATAATTCAGTATTTATTATTTAAACTTTTAATCTACTGTGCAAAATTTGTTTTCCCCCTAATTACATAATCATGCTAGAGGAGGCAGTTGATTTTCATTGATTTTCAAATTAGCTTTGAGAATGGCCAGGAAGTATTTTGGGTAATGTATATATTTAATATCATTAGCAAAGTTTAATTACTGACCTGTGTTTTAATTTATCTTATTTCTGAAAGCATGGTTAAGAGTGAAGTGTATTTTGTCTATCTCAAAGGAAAAAGAAATTTGTTTTGCCTTAAAATATGATTTACTTCAGGGATAATTATAAGATGTAATTAAGGAGAGACTTTGAGTATCTTTTTTTCTTGTTTGTAATGACCATGTGATCATTACCTGAGCTGAGGTGGAGGGAGGCATCATTTGAATAATTGGGCTTGAAGCAATAGTACTTGAACCCAGTAGTTGTCATACCCTCAAAAGGGAAAATGTTAGTTCCTTTAAACATGAGATCAGTTTGCCATTGTGTATTCAATTTAAAGATAGTTGCTTTAGAAACAGACCTGTAAATACAGAGAACAAACTGATGGTTGGCAGAGGAGAGGGTGGGGGTGGGAGTGGGAGCTATGGACAAAATGGATGAAGAGGAGTAGGATACAAGCTTCCATTTATGGAATAAGTAAGTCATGGGGATAAAAGGTACAACATTAGGGAATATAATCAATGGTATTGTATGGTAACAGTTGGTAACTACTCTTGAGTGAGCATAGCATGATACATAGACTTGTTGAATCACAATATTGTACACTTGAAACTAATGTAACATTGTGTGTCCATTATACACTTAATTACAAAAAGATGGTTACTTTAAAAGTAGGTATGAACCGGGGCGCCTGGGTGGCTCAGTCGTTAAGCGCCTGCCTTCGGCTCAGGTCATGATCCCAGGGTCCTGGGATCGAGCCCCGCATCGGCCTCCCCGCTCCGCAGGAAGCCTGCTTCTCTCTCTCCCACCCCCCCTGCTTGTGTTCCCTCTCTTGCTGTGTCTCTCTTGGTCAAATAAATAAAATCTTTAAAAAAAAAAAAAAAAGTAGGTATGAACCAATTCATTTAGCAGATAATTGAGTGCCACCAGTTGGTGTTTTAGGTTGCTGGGAGGCATTACTTTTAATCCCAACTCTAAAATAGATTGATTTTGCAAACCTTGAATGATTTCTACCTCAGAAATAGCTCCCCTTTTTTCTCACCTTCCTGCATACAGTCTGTCTCTTCCTGGATTTTTGCTCATCTCACCTAGTCCTATAGGGAACTAATCCTTTGGCACCCCCAAAGGTTAGTAGTAGTGTTCCTAAAAATCTTTTGAGGCTAAAACTGATCGGTTTTGGAGCATTTGTGGGTGACTATCTCTGTCTCCTCTGTCCCACTCTTGGTCTCTGTGTGCACATAAATTTCACCACTGCTCATGGCATAGATGTATGTAGCTAGAGTATAGTAATCTCTAGGATGAATCAGTTGAAGCTAGAGTGTGAAAGAAGTTATCTGATTGCTTTAAAAGGGTTACTCTTTTCAGAACACAAGGATCTAGCTGGAGCAGTTTGTTTATGGTGAAAATTTTCTGATACACATTTCTAGAGATGCTTTTCTACAAGGCTGATGAATCTAAGAACCACTAAAATAAGGGTCCATTCTAATATGTAGGCCTGTACCAGTAGGCAAAAGGCCCCAATTATTTGAATATTCTTTGTTTGGTTTCTTTCTTTCTTTTCTTTTTCTTTTTTTTTTAGTTTTTGATGTGGTGATCCATGATCTGTTGTTTTCGTATAACACCCAGTGCTCCATGCAGTACGTGCCCTCCTTAATACCCATCACTGGGCTAACCCATCCTCCCCCCCTCCCCTCTAAAACTCTGTTTGTTTCTGAGTCCATAGTCTCTCATGGTTCATCTCTCCCTCCGATTCCTCCCCCCCCCTTCATTTTTCCCTTCCTTCTCCTAATGTCCTCAGTTTGGTTTCTTAAATTTCAGTTGCAATGGGTGTTTCCAACTATAAACTGAAATATTCGTTTTACCTCAAAAAACCAGCAATTTTATGATTGTAGGTAGGAATAACATAGATAACATGTAGGCTAGACAGTATTTTTGGAATAGCAGCTCTTTAATAAAACTGCTTTAGGGACAGAGTTCCTTCTTATTGTCCATGTTATGAATAGGAGTTTGTTACTCTACTCTTGTGCTTCAGGCTTCTTCTCCCTCCCTTTTCCTGTTTATCATACTTCGGTAGTTTAATCTCCTTCTTCCCCACTTTCAATGAAAATTTTTAAAAGATAACTTGTTTAAAATTAATTTGAATACTTTATCTTTCTATTTGCAAGGGACATCAAGAGTAAAAATGTGCTGTTGAAAAACAATCTGACAGCTTGCATTGCTGACTTTGGGTTGGCATTAAAATTTGAGGCTGGCAAGTCTGCAGGTGATACCCATGGACAGGTAAGGATAATAACTATAAACTAAAAAAAAATAATCTTGTCCCATATTTTCTTAGAATGGCACATCTAGATTGAATTGATCTAAAATTACTGTGATGGTTATTAAATCAGCATCTAATATAAAATGACTCTCTTAAAAGTAATATGTTAAATTTGCTGAGGAAGACATTTTCATGTGGTGGTGAAGGACTGTTAGGAACTCAAGTGGTTTAGATCAATCAATTCGTAAAACAACTTAGACACATGTCATGGGATTCTATTTTTAAAACTAATCAAGTTAGACTCCAACACACTTAAACAGGCCTCATTCTTAGGGAGTTCTTGGTAATAACACAGTAGTTTTAATTTGTTAATTCTTTCATCATCCTAAGAGGAATGGCAGAACAATCAGTTACTATTCATGCTACTATGTATTAATATCTATTGCCTGATTTTTCCACACAACGACTACAGTTTCTTGCTTCTTGGTCTTTAGTGCTTCATTAACTCTTTAACCAATTTTACAGCTTTTCTTTGAATTCTCTCCAGAGTTCAGAGCACTTGCAAAGCCCTGAGCAGAGAGCCTAATTAACTCTATCTAGTCAAGGTCTGTACAAAGAGCTCTGAACAATGGGAATCTTTAAAAAAAGCCAAATAGGAGAAAAACATTATCCATATATTTTATTCTTAGAAACTGTGAGGCGAGGAAAGGTGCTTTCACGCCTACAAGATCACCTTTTTATTAAGAAAACCAGTTTGACCTGAAAGGTGACGTTTCCTTACAAAGTTGGCATGATTATTTCTTCATCTTTCAAATCATGGAAATTACTTTGGTCATCTAATTGTCAGCTTTCGTTTTTCCCAGTATATCCTATTGACCTCCAAGAATAGTTATTAAAGAATCACAGCATAACAAATTTTGGCAATACCGACTGATGATACAAGAATTTAGTTTACAGCAATGGTCAGCAGTCAGAGTTCTAGAAAAGTTGATACCAAATGTGTTTGGGAATGAATGAAAGCAGTCTTGTGGAGTATATTGCGGAGGAGGGAGATTGTGCAGGAGGCCCAGGGAGCTGACTTGAATGATTATCATAAAACTAAATGTGGGGAACCGTTTAATCCTCTGGCACCTCATAACCCTCTTCCCCCCTTTTCTTAAGAAAAATTTTGAGACTTATTCCTATCTTTTACTGTCCTCTCAATTGGTTTACATGAGGAGGTAAAAATAATTACTAATTACATCACTGGTTACTTGACTTTAGACCCTCTTGGACCAGAAAATTTCAAAATTCACGTTATTGTACATTTTACATATATAAAAATAAGATTTTTATCTTATTTTACAAAAGAGAGGACATTTTACACTAAGAAGGTAGTTGTCACTTTATAATAGAAAAGTACTTTGGATGGCATACATTTTTTTTTTCTGCTAAGAACTTTTTTCCTTATATTCAATTAGCCAACACATAATAATACGTCATTAGTTTTTGTTGTGTTCAACGATTCATTAGTTGCATATAACACCCAGTGGTCATCACCACAGTGCCCTCCTTAATACATTTATCTTTAGGAGAAAAGTAAACTTTTGAGAAATGCTTGCTTATAGTACAGTTAAAGATGCAAAAAGCAGGGCTACTATTTTTTTTCTTTCTTTAAAGTGTTATTAAATGAATTAAAAACTTGAGCTTTGGAGTCTTAGTGATCTGCCCTTTTTTAGACATTTCTATTGTATATGTGTTCACAGATAATTGTCTAACTTGGAGTCTAGAGATCAGTCACCTGAGGATAGAGCTTTTTGGAATACCATTATCTGGCCACTCCCTAGATCTCCAAAAACTCAATTAGAGTGTGATCCACCCAGCTATCCTATAAGAATTTTTTAAGCATTCGTATGTGAATATTGTCAAGCACCAACCAAGGCTAGCTATAGTAGCTTAGTAACCATAGTTCCAATACTAAGAAATACCAAATTGTTAGGGACAGATATAAGACAGAATTCATGAATGAATAAATATGTACACGTTGTAGAAATAGAACTTTTAAAAGTTTATCCATTCTTTCCTTGGCTAATTCTTCTTAAGTTTTATATTACTACTTTTTGTTAATAAAGAGAAAGAGAAACCCTCAAAAATGAGTATTCTTTTTTTCTTTTTAAAGACACACATTTCAAACAGGATGCAAAGGTACAATTGAGAAGTATAGTTTTCTTGTCCTTGTCTCCAACAGAACAACCATTGTTTTTGTGATTACTTCCAGAAGGGGGAGAAAATTCTAAGCCAGCGCCAGCATAATGTTTGCTGATATATTTATTAAGTGTATCCAGAAAGGATCTCAGTATATATACTGCTTTGTTCCTTGCTGTACAGTGTTTTTGGAAGTTTTTCCATATCAGTCCAGATTTATTTCATGTTTTTTTCAGAGCTGCATAGTACTCTGTTTAAGAAATCCCTGCTGATGGAAACTTCCCATTTCTAGTGTCTTGGCTGTTATTACTTGAAATGGAATACAGTGCTCCTTGACTCTATAGTCCGGTGGTACGATAGCAGACCACATTTGGTTTTGATTCTTTTTACAAAATCATAAAATGTTAGTTCATAAAGTTAATGAGTACTGTTTGCTTTCAACATCTTTTTCAGGTTGGTACCCGGAGGTATATGGCTCCAGAGGTATTAGAGGGTGCTATAAACTTCCAAAGGGATGCATTTTTGAGGATAGATATGTACGCCATGGGATTAGTCCTGTGGGAACTGGCTTCTCGCTGTACTGCTGCAGATGGTAAGGGAAAAAATATTTTTTTTAAAAAAGATATGCCTATTGTCTGCTACACATATATGAAAAGGGATGATAATACTCAAAAGGTAATATTTCAAAGTACAAATTTTTTTAAGTAGACTCCAAGAGGTAGTGGCTTAAACAGAACTTAGGAGGCAGGGGATGGGGGCAGGCTGGAGAGGGAAGGTATGAGCATGTATTGATCCTTTACCATTGCCAGGTATTTTGCACTAGGCCCTTCACATACCTTTAGCTAATTTCCTAAAACTCCTTTGGAGGTAGATACTATCTTAGTTTTATACATGAGCAATTTGAGGCTCAAATTTTAAGTAGAAATTAAGCAGATTGCCAGTTTTAGCTTCAAGGTGGTAAATGGTGAAACCTAGATTTGAAACTCTGATCCAAATGTAGGGATAGGGCTGCCACTTTGGTAGGTCCTGCCTGCCCCCAGGTTGCAAAGTCAACTCTTTTGGCAAGAGGAGATAAAGGAAGAGTTGGGGGATTTTCCCTTCCAGGACACTCAAGGCTGAATCTATTCATCACTCCCATGATGTCAATATATACCTAACCAGATTGAATTTACAGTCCATCCTCCAGGGCACAAAATTGAGCATGCCTTTGGATATACCACAGGTTAAATTCTGTCTCCTTACAGCCTTGAAAGTCTGAGCTGATGTAGACGTTACTATAAACACTAGTTATATTCTCTTGCACACCTTGGTTCTGAAGGATTATTGTTTTTGTTATGTAAGTCCTTGTTCAAGTCCTATAAATATTTGCACTGATCGATTGATAATAAGCCTGCATACTATTTTCCTGGCGTGACAAAATTATAGTGTGCTAGGTACTATCTTTAGTGCTTCTCAGAAGTTCTCCATTCTCTTCACTTGTGTTACAGTACTTTTTTTTGGACATGAAAATATAAAGCAGACATCTTGACAAATGTAAATTAGCTTGATCCTTTTAATTTATAATTACCTAAAAACTTCCTGCAGATTGTGAAAAGACCATAGAAGAAAGTTGTGTAGCGTATTTAAACCAACTTAACGTATATTTATGAGAATACTGTGTTTTCTGAGTACTGCCAATGGTCTCTCAGTGTAGGACAGACTACCTCTGGTATATGAAATTTGATTTGGGGTACTCTGTTTTTAAAGGGAACTTAGTAGATTGCTCAGGAATGGATAGCCATTCATTCTTCTAAGATTGGGGGTTTGGCATGGGGATGGATCCAGAGCTAAGAAAGTTTGAAGCAGTTTGGATATAATTCTAGCTTAGAAGTCTAGAGGAAGAAGAGTAAGCTGTTCAGTGTAGTTTGGCTCAAAGTGGAAGAGGAAGTACATTTATTATGTGCATTTATGGAAGCAGAAATAGGTTGGATAGGTATAGATGTTATAGGAAAACATATTTTATAAGAACTTTAATAATAGGAACTCTCCAAAGCCAACCATTGGATATGATGTTGTAGTTGTAGGGGATATACAAAGCCCTGCCCTTAAGCAATGTATAGTTTAAGGGAATAAAATATATCCTGGACAATTGACTCTAGAGTAAGGTAAGTGTGAATTGCCTAGCTTCATGCTCAGTACATATTCAATACGTTATTTTGGATGAGTGTAATACCTGAGGAATGTAAGAGAGTATTAATGGGAGTTTAGAGGAGTGAAAAATGCTTTGTTTTGGGGTAGAGTGGTTATCAGGGAAGATTTTATGAAAAATGAGGACAGATGCTGATATATATATATATATATTTTTAAGATTTTATTTATTTATTTGACAGAGAGAGACACAGCGAGAGGGAACACAAGCAGGGGGAGTGGGAGAGGGAGAAGCAAGCTTCCCACGGAGCAGGGAGCCCGATGCAGGGCTCCATCCCACCATGATCTGAGCCGAAGGCAGATGCTTAATGACTGAGCCACCCAAGCACCTCGATGCTGATATTTCTAAAATGCTTTGCATGTGCTATGAAATAATTGCAGAGTCAGGGATTTCTGACCCTTAAGTCAGAAATTGGGGCAGGAGGGGACAGTGTGAACATGGCTCAAGTGAGTACTTCAAAATTGGTTGATGGCTAATTGTTGATGGTTCAGTTCAGTGACTCTCAGACTTTAATGTATACTAAACTCCTGATAAAGTTATGTTGACTCAGTAGGTCTGGGTTGGGGCCTGATACTTCTATTTCTTGCAGGCTACCAGTCAGTGCCAGTGCTGCTGAGCTGCGGACCACATTTTGAATAGCAAGAGTTAAATAGACATTTTAGAACGTCAGTACTGAGTCACTGGAAGTGCTTAAGCAGAGACGGACTATCCAGGTGTCAAGGATTCTTCCATTTGGAGAGGCTGGAGTTAGATGTCCTCCTTTATGATTCATTGTTTATAACTTATGTCCTATCCAGGAGTAGGAGTATCTGTACAAGGTTTAGGTCCATATACAGACCCTTTATATGCAGTTGCTCTTTAGTGAACGGTTTCAAATGTCAAGGGGAGACAGCACAGTGATCAAAAACAGACTTTAGTGGCAGAGATGGATTCAAATTCCATTCTGCCACCTACCAGCTGTATGCCCTTGTGAAAATTACGGGAGCTGCTTTCCTATCTGTAAGATAGAGGTAATGTCACCTTCACTCTGTGGAGGTGTAAAATGGAAGGAAATAACGTATGTGAAGTTCCTAGTCAGGGTAAGTGCTTATTAAATATTAGTATTAACTTTTAACTACATTATCCTATTTGAGTATGCCTAAGAAAAAAGGAACCATTTATTTTGTTGAATACATTTTGTCTGTGAAGGCACATTCTGAAGGCTAGTTGGGAACCCTATTTGGAGTATGCTTGTGATTTTTTTAAAAACTATTTTTGGCAGCTTTTGTGAGGAGGGCGTGTGACTCTGAGGTACATAATTCCTCATGCAGAACGTGTAGGGGGTTAGGATGTGTCAGAGAATAAAGATGGTTATGAGACCGACCCCCAGATTGTCAGATGGAAGCACCACTGTTTAGTCTGATTTGAATTGTGAGAAGTACTTAAAGGGATTTTATAGCCTCGACTTGCAAATATTGTTGGTTCCCTATGGTCCTATCTATGTATGGAGATAGGCATATTCCTCATACAGTAGATGAGAAAGCTTCTTATGCAAACTTAGCAGGCTTATGCCAAATTGTGTAGTTTTTGATTTCTCCTCAACTAGCATTTGGGTCATAATGTGGTAGAAGTAGTTGAGAATCTTTTTATCTCCTGTCATTATAGCATTTAACAGTTGGGAAAAGGTGATACAGAGTATGTTTCAGAAAGGTTGTTCCAGTTTGGAAGTCAGGAAGATTTGAATTAAAATGATTTTTTTTTTTTTTCATTTTAGGACCTGTAGATGAATACATGTTGCCATTTGAGGAGGAAATTGGCCAGCATCCATCTCTTGAAGACATGCAGGAAGTTGTTGTGCATAAAAAAAAGAGGCCTGTTTTAAGAGATTATTGGCAGAAACATGCTGTAAGTTAGCTTTTCATTTGAAATTCCAATAAAATGCTTTTCAGAGGAATGATTTCTATCTCTGCACACTTCTGGGATGATTTTCTGGGGAGGTTATCTTCATACAGGATATTGTCTAGAGTTCTACAAACAACAGAATTTTAGGGCTATGAGGGAAGATGGTGAAGTCATTAAACCTAAGGGGCTTGCATTGCTATGGTCCTGTGTTTGTCTCTTGTTTGGAGAGCTTCCCAGGGAAAGGAGTACCTGACTCTGAGCATGTGGATAGGTGGGTAACCTTGATGATCAGCAGCTTCCCTTAAGATGGTATTTTTAAAGTAAAGCAGTTTTCTGCTCTCCATGTTTCTGATTTGGGATTGGACTTTGTTCAGGTTCTTAAGAATGCTCTAAAACTAGAGACTTAGGTAGGTGAAGAATGGGACACTATTGCTCTGGTTATTGTGGTCCAAATATAACTGGAAACATGGATTAAAAACCAGGTAGAGAATCTCAATGATGCTTTTCCAACCTTTTTTTCTATTTAACTGCAAGACAGAAATGCCGGTATTAACGAAGAAAACAATAAAAATTGTTTTAAAAAAAATTAGCCTTGGTTTTGAGTCTAGATCAGGGGTTAGCATTGAACTGACCCGGTTTATATGCAATGGCTAGGGATTTCTGGAATTAAAAAAAACCTAATTACCTCCTGTGATAGTCGCGGATGCTACAAGAAGTTTGATTTTTCTTAGTGCTTTTCATCCATTTCCTGCATACGATAGATACTCATAAGTGAATGTCGACACATAACACCAAACTTGGCTAATCTTGAAACTTTGACTCACAAAAATAATTTATGGACATTTCATCGTTTCCTAATAGAAAACAAAATCTACAGTGTTTGAATATGTTTTTCATTTTTAGGGAATGGCAATGCTCTGTGAAACGATAGAAGAATGTTGGGATCACGATGCAGAAGCCAGGTTATCAGCTGGATGTGTAGGTGAAAGAATCACTCAGATGCAAAGACTAACAAATATCATTACCACAGAGGACATTGTAACAGTGGTCACGATGGTGACAAATGTTGACTTTCCTCCCAAAGAATCTAGTCTATGATGGTTGCACCATGTGTCCACAGTGAGAAACAGGACTCTGAACTGGAGCTGCTAAGCTGATGAAACTGCTCACAGTTTATTTTCTGTGAGAAATGAGTAGGAGGTCTCCTGGACATGTCAGGAAGAAGACCCTCATTTAAAAATGTGGCTCTGGGAGACTTACAGCATTGCCTGCAGCAGAGACGTGAAGGACACGAGACTAAGAGAAGTTGCAGACTCTATATAAAGAAACTTTTGAAAAAGTGTACATGAAGAACGTAGCCCTCTCCAAATCAAGGATCTTTTGGACCTGGCTAATCAAGTGTTTGAAAACTGACATCAGATTTCATAATGTCTGTCAGAAGACACTAATTCCTTAAATGAACTACTGCTTTTTTTTTTTAAATCAAAAACTTTTCATTTCAGATTTGAAAAAGGGTAACTTGTTTTTATTGCATTTGCTGTTGTGTTTGTATGAATGACTATTGTAATGCCAACACGACACGGCTTGTGAATGTTTGGTGTGCTGCTGTTCTGTGTACATAAACAGAGGCATCAGAGTGGGGTACAGGAGAGAGGCTTCCAAGCATTACTTTAACCTCCCTCAACAAGGTATACCTCAGTTCCACGGTTGCTAAATTATAAAATTGAGAACACTAACAAAATTGGAATAATAAATTGATCCATGTTTTGTAACAAGGTATTACAAATTCACTGTGTTATTTAAGAAAAAAAGGTAAGCTATGCTCAGTGCCAACACTAAGTGGCCATTCATTAAGCAGTGTTTTAGCTTTTCTTGTGCTAGCTTGTAATTTAAGGGAAAAAAGTGCTGTTTTTTGAAATGAAAAAATGATGTCATTTTCCCCTTTTCCCCATGTTTTAAAGCTTCACCTTATATCCAGTTCCCAAATTATTGCATATTTACCTAAGTATTTTTTTAGGTGTGCTGTGTTTGGGGAATATTTGAAAATTTAAAGCATGATTTAAATTTTTTAAAGTGAGCTGTGACACTGGAAAGCTCTTCATTTTTATTCTTTTAAAATAGATTTTTTTCCTATTTATATATGTAAAATTGTAGTGTATTTCTTTTCACCGAACAGTGTGTGGGACATTCTTTATCACTGTTTAAGGATCACCTCAGGAAGTGTCATTACCCAGAATTCCTCACTCTCTGCTTTGAGACTTGTAACTTTATCACTATATTTCTGCTTGGTGCCATCTTGTCAGAGTAATACTTTGATGTCTGTGATATGTAAAGAATTATCCTAGGATAGAAATTTTAAATTTTAAGCACAGATTTCAAATGTTACTGCTTTAAAACAAATCAGGGATAACAAGTTATACTTATAAACTTAAAATATGCAATGACATTTAGAGGTAACCGATGTTGATATAGGTAATATAGCCTTGCCTCCTCCTGCAAATTGCTTTCACACTATAACTTTTAGGGTAGTTGATGCCTTATCCTTGATAAGAAAATGGAATTGATGGTAGGTAGGTGCCAAAGTGCTTTTCAAAACAATACTGGATTAGAATATAATTGGATTGTTCCTCAAATTTATATAGGCCAAAGTAAAAGAGTAATTTCCTGAATTTCTAGATTACTGACCAACAAATAGCCAGTATTATGCTATGTACTTTCGTCAGGTCATTTTAAAATCCATACATTGATTTTATAAAAGAATTTTTTACATGTCACTATCAGGAGCTCACTGTGAATGTATTACCTTCATATGGCTATTTAACCACACAGTACACTACATTTTACATATAATGTGCACTTAATCTCTGGGAATAATAAATTATATTATTTATAAATAATGCATAGGTCAACAGACTCTAAAGCAGGGAGGGAAAGAAGAGTAATAGCATTGTTGTCTGCGTGCCACACACCATGCAGAACTTTGTGCTCTTGGGTCACATATGTACCCAAGTTTTCATTGAATTCCCTTTTCAATGTTGAGTTCACCTCTTTATTTCAAAAAGTACTTGACATCTCAACTGATTTGGTTTAACTTCCACTTTGAAACTAATCAAGATGGGAAAGTGACAACGTTCACACATAGAAATTGTCCATCTCCTGAAGACTAAGTTCTACCTGTTCTAAACATTTAATTTTAAAAGAAAAAATCAAAACAAAAACAAGGAATATTATGAATGTTTGGCTTATGTGAGCACTAGTGATAAATTTTATAAGATCAGTTATTCAAAAGATAGTTTTCTCTTCATGTTAGAAAAAATTTTTAGAAATCCTGGGTATCGTACTTAACTCTAGCTAACCAACTTTAAGACTTGTATCCTTTTGAAAACTATATTAATAGAAAAACACTTTTTATAAGCAGTAAAATAAGAATGTTCCAGTGACTACCTGTCCTGATACCTAGTCTTGTTAAAACTTTCATTTGCAGGGCATTTTCAGGTTTGGTTTACAGTCAGCGCAGAGTGGGCAAGCTTACAAAAAGTTTGAGCTGGGATACTGAAAAAAAGAAAGATCAAAGAATGAGAAAAATGACTTCTTTGTTTTGGGGTGAACTGAGACCCCAGTAATTTTTTCCTCATGTGTATGGTGCTCCTTACGATTCGTCTTGTATTTTGCCTTTCTGATACCCATCAGAACTGCTGCTCTAACTTCCACTCTTTACCTTGCCCAAATCTCCATGTAAGGAATGCTTTATGATCAACTGCCATAGGACTGATGGATTAACCAGTGTTTGGCTTTATTCGAAGTCTATGCCCTGCACAGCTCTTTGTATGTATTTTAGATGCTAGGACGTTTTTAGCATGTGAAGTGTGACTCTTGTTTGAATGTTTATTACAGGTACCTTGTGAATTCCAGAACAGAGACTGTGCCTCAAAATTGTTGGTCCCATGAATTTGCACTACCTTTCATGGTGATGTTTTGAAAATGCAATCAGGAAAAAACCCCAAGAAGTTTGGAATTTAAAAATAGAATCATCTATCATGAAATTGAAAAAGAACCTCTTCTTCTTCCTTTCCTCAATCCTAAGTAACAGCTACATTTAAGTAAAATGCAGACGGGTAGGGGAAAAAATACCCTGGCCAGATGATAAGTTTAAGTGGAATTAAACTTAACTATTTAAAAAAAAAATGCTTCTCCACAAATATTTTCCAGTTTCTCTTTTTTACCTTTTTAAAAAATTACTTTTTAGAAACATTTGGTATAATGTGCATAAAATTATTTACTGATTTCTGGGCAAAATGATACAAGTAGCATCTTGATTGAACATCATTTACCTCAGATATTCAACCAGCAGTACATTTTTTATGCAGTCTCAATCCATATCCTATTTGTTACCTCTCAAAATATTGGTAAGCAATTATTTTAGCTTTACTCTGTATTTCTTGTCAGTGTTTTGGGCACAGGTTGTTGTACTACTGTCAAATTGTACTTGCTGTTTTTTTCTGCAAGTATTTAACAAAAAGTTAAAAAAAAAAAAGCCCCATAAAACCCCACCTTGGATAAGTGATTGTTAAATATTGTACAATAAAATGTATGCTATCCCCATTCCATCCCCGAGTTAAATAAAAAAAATGAATATGGTATGATTTGCTTATGCAGTTTTTCTTTAGCTATACATTTTTCTTAAAAAGGGGAACAGTAGCTTTGTCATTTCTGGCGAGGCTCACACCTTGAGATATGCAAGAATGGGGATAGTGGTGAAAGGGAAGTTTGTCAAGGGTGGCGTTTCCCCCCTTTACCGTCTAAGCAGATTGTATTCCCCACAAGGTATGTATATTAGTCCTGCCAGTTTTAGGAAACCAGAGGCTAGCAGGCATTAGTTACCTTGTCTTTTCATATGGAAACACGAAAATGTGGCTTAGGAAATTGTCATCAAATATACAAACCACTCTTCCTAAAGGATATTAACTAGTTTACTGACTGAATGGAAGAATTCTGGTATTTTCACTTAGGGTAATCAGTAAGAGTAATCATCAAGGAAGCTAGCTTTCATTACATTTTTAATGTTGCCAAGGCTTTTGTTTATCGTGTGGCTTTCAAAAGAAGGGATGGAAAGCCCCACGGGAGCACTGTGTCATAGTTCACACCAACGGATTCTCAACCCGCACTGCCTTCTAAACCAAGTGAAAACGCAAACTAGGATGGAATGTGCACTGAATGGCTACCGAAAGACTGAAATTGTTTTCCACAGCATGCTCTGCGAAACTGATTTTTTGTGAAGTTAATACATAGTATATACTCAACATACATAGCATTAGGATATGGTATGTTTGGACCAGCAAGTTTCAATTCCTCAGAGCCATTCACCACATCAACTGGAGGTGTTGTTTTGTTTTGAAGAAGATCCTGTTTTGGATAGGGTACTTGGAAAGGTCATGTGAGTCAAAACTGCACTGAAACCTCTAACACTCTTCCTCACCTGTTTTGCTAACCTTTTTTCTAATTTGCGTTAAGAATTGTTTCACTGAAAATGAAAACTCACCCTGCGACTTAGTTTTTTAATCTGTATACTGGGTGTTGGTGGATCTTCTGCAGGTCTTCTGTAACCAGGAAGGCACATGAGAGCTTTCAGCCTTTTAGTGGCATCTTAAGCTAATAATTTGCAGTCTTGAAATAAAGTTGTTTAGATGCGTTCACAGTGAGTGCCATTAAGGCAGATAATACTTCCCTAAAATAATTCAGAAAATTTTCTTAAAGGGAAAACTCTAGCTCAAGTGTAAAATCCTTGCTTCCAGTAGCAGTGATGCTACCAATGCTAAGTATTTTGGCAAAATATCCCCTAAAAATCTGTAGACTATTGCACAGAACCAGTATGTAAGCCTTACCTTTACTGAGACACTGCTGAAAAGTAAATGACAGTGATCTGAAGACTTAGAAGGCAGGGAAGGAACAGCTACATCTGCAAAAAAATAGGTTGAACTGAAGAGCTACTTTTTTACACACAGAAATATTACAGTCCAACCTATACCTGATACTTCTTGAAAACCAGATAAATCACTTCTTAGAGCATACTTTAAAAAATACGTGACGAGAACCAGTTAATGAATTTTAGTTCTTGATAGTGGGGCTTTGGTGTCAGTCGAACCTGAGTTGAATTCCAGGGTCTGTCAATCATTCTCTACCTGTGTGATTTTGAACACTGCCACTACGATGTTAGTTTTCTTAACTGTAAATAACAGTCCCTGAATATCACAGGGCGTTTGATAGTTAAAAGGATTATGAACAACACAAGGATGGAGACTGCCTTTTGAAAACAGTATGTAATCAAATATTCTTGAATAAATGAAGTCACTAACACTTGGCAAATGCTTATTAAATTTCACAGATACCTGGAATTAGTTCTTGGACTCCTGAATTTATAAGGTGAGCATTTCTACATTCCCTTTAGAGATTTACTTTTTGATACAAATAAATTTAGTCAATAGTGCCAAACACTTCCCATTAATTGTGGGAATGGTTTCCAGGCATTTCCTAAACTCCCTGTTAAAAACAAATTCTGATCCTTTGGGGCCTAGGAGAGGCCCAAGAATCTTTTTTTTTTTTTAAACATTTCATGACATCTTTAATGAAACTGGGAAGAATTTGCCTTTTAAAAAATTCTACAAGGGATTCTTCTATAGATGATATGATTAAGTACCACCTTTTGAGAAGCCTGGAAGAAATTCATATTCAAACTTTTCACTTTTTTCTTCCATGTGAACTATCTTCTGCCAAACTGGTCAGTCTCCTGAACTAGAAGACCTGGGTCTGGGGTAGAATCCAAAATTTCCATGGATAGAGAAAAGAAAATG